ATGTTTAAGGGTTTTTTTTTTTCATGAGGGGTCAACCTATTTAATAAAAAAAAGTTTATGAACTTATTTAATAATAAAATGATTATTAAATATATATTCAATGTATTATCAATGTCTATCATGTTATTTATTTACAAGAATCGTAAAATTTCATATTTTTATTTATGTTATTTATTAATATTTAATAATTGGAAATTTTTACAGCAAGCAGTAAATTATCCAATATAAAATCATAGGAGAAAATTATGTAACAAAAGTCAAAGTATTTGGTGGACATCATGCAGATATGCATATGCTCATTGGTCCATCCCTGTGACTAATGAATAATTGAATTTTGCATTTTTGCCCCTTAATTTTCGGTTTATTATTTTTCCGGACATGAAGTTCTACGAAACAGGAATGATCAGTACACGTTATAAATTATTAAATTAAATGAATTAATGTGATGAAATAAATAGTTGCAAATTTTGACCATGATCCATGCTCAGTGATTTAAATTTGCAAATCAGTCACTCTACTTTATGGAAACTATCATTCTGGCATTTGAATTGTGTTTATTTTACTTCGAACCAATCTCAAATTAAATAATTTGATATACTTGGACACTATTTTCAAAAAAAATAAAAATACATTTCTTAACAAATTAATTCACATACTTTCATATATAACCGATCGAAACACTTTAATAACGAGATAATTATGACATTTAGTAGTATAAATATATATATTTATTCAATTAGTATGTCTGGTTGATTCGTCTAATTGTTAAACTAACTCGTACAATAATTTGTATTTTGTTCATTTATTCTTTTGTTTTTCCACCACAAAACTAGATAACCTTAAAATCAAAGCACTTGAGCACATTAATGTCAACCTAGGTATAGTGCTATAAAAGACTAAAAACCATGTCATCCAATTTCCAAAAATAAACAAAATACCTTTTACTATCATATGTTTCCACAAAAATAGGTAAAAAAAATAAAAAAAAAAATGGAAATGTTTCTCTTTTGAGAAACTTGAAAATGTTAAAATAAAAAATGAAATAATAGGGGCA